CTCTCCCCACCAGCAGAAGCACTTTTTGCAAGAGGGAATCCTGGCTGCCGGGGTGTCCCCTCCCAGGCCTGCAAGTCGCTCTACATCTGTATTTATTTCTGAAATGCAATGCAAAAAAATATATACATATGTGTMTATATAAAAAGAGCAAAACCCGTGTATGGATAATCCTAAAGCTTCCCAGTTCTGCCCGTGGGGAGAGCCGCGCRGCGTCGCGCTCCCGGGAGCTGCTTGCTCAAGCGAATCCATGTGCGCTCCGAGCTTGGTGCACGCAAGCAGCCCGGGAACTACTCACATGCTTATAATTAAGGCGCAGCTCTTAATTATCCCGCTTAATGGGGGCTGTCCGACAGCCGTCACTCGCCCTGCTTGGGCGCCTTCCCGCATCCCGGCGTGTTTYTGGGATGAGCGGCACGAAGAGGGAGCACGCGCAGCACGGGGGCATCCCGGGCATCGCGCTCCGTGGTGCCCAAGGGGCTCTCCGGCCATTCCCGACACCGGAGGGGACRACTGGGGGCCACGCTGGAGTCACCGGATCAAGAGGCTCTGGACAGGACATCCTATGGATCCCTTTACCCGCATCCTGACTCCAGGAACGACATTCCCGGCATTCCGGCAAGGTTACCCGGCTGGCCACACAACAGGGCACTGAGCAACCTCCCCAGCTCCGRGTCTTGGTTTCGGGGGAAAAATAAGTAAATAAATAACCAAAACGGGCTCCCTGGGGCGATCCGGTCACACCGATCCCTCCRGGCCTTCCCGCACGGAGAAGGCTCCGGGGCCACTTCCCAAAGCCTCATCCCGGAGCCGGATACTCAACAGCGGCCACCCAAATGCAAGCGGAGGTGCCCATATTACGTAAGGGGCACCTGCAAAATTCCCACGGAAGCATAAAATTGGGGAARAAGAAAGAAAAGAAAGGAAACCCCTCCAGAAACACGCCCGCGGAGCGCCGGGGACCTCCCCGCACAACGCCCCGATTTGGGGGCGAAACTCCCCATCCCGCGACGGGGCGGCCGCTCCCCTGACCSCGATCCCCATCCCGATCCCCATCCCGAGCCCTCCCCGCGATCCCGGGACGCGGAAGGGACCGTGTCCCCCCCGCTCCCCGCACCGGTCCCGCTCCGCGCGGACACCGSTGAACGCGGCAACGGCGCCCGCGCCAGTTGCGCAACACGGGGAAACGCAGCCCAAAAAAGGGGGTTTTGCGCCACTTCAGACCTGTCTTACCCTCCACATAAACCCACTTAAAAAATTTAAAAAGTACCAAGAAGCGCCGCTCGCGAGCGAACACTTCGCCCCCCGTTCACTCAATAAATAATTAGTTAATTAACTAACCCCCCCACACACGCCCGTCCCCGCCGCGGGCCGGTGCGCACCTGCGTGTAGAGCTGGGCCGCGGACATCGCGGCCGGCGGCGCATGAGGGGCG